TTTTTTTTTTCTTTTTAGATAGAATTAAAAATTGCATTATCACATTCCTGTTACAAACTTCTATATAATACCACCAGCGTGTGTGTTTTATTTATATCTATTTTAATACTGTACATGTGTATCATATCATAATAAACCTGTAGTAATTCGATGGCGTTGTTTTACATGGTGTGCTATAAGATTTACATCTCGTGTATTAACATTTGTGTGTCGTTTTTTTTTTCATGTATTTACTTATTTTTCTTATCTAATTTTAGTAGGTATTACTTATTTCGCCCATACACATGCAATTACCTGTATCGTTCTAGCTGCCACACCCAGACCGACCCCGCGTCCCACACCAGCTCCGATCAAAGGTAAGTCATTAATATGGTGATTGGTTGGTTGATTAATTAGGTCTGCAAACACCAACAACGTATAGCTATATATTTATAGGTCATAAAATACATATAATAATACAATTCGATATATTGTAATAAGCAGAGAATGCTGCAATATTGTTAGTTTAAAATAAACATATATTCATGATTTAAACCTGAATTTGTTTTATTGCAAAATAACAGAATCGCATATTATGAGTTACAATACTACTTCATTAAGACAAGGGAATCAACTCTGTCAATATTTTTGTTTTAAAACTTCTCAAAGCCACAGCAAAATCTGACTCTTCTAATACATTATCTGAAAAGAGACTGCTATGTTGAGCCGAGATAAGATCGAGATGGGACTACCACAGCACTCTTCCGCTAATACAATGCAGTATACAGTCTAAGTCATTATCTTTCAGATTGTCAATACAGAGATATGGACGTCGTCTTCCTCCTCGACAAATCAACAAGTCTTCAAACACAGACCAACTTCAATAAGGAGCTTGTTTTCGTCAATGACTTCCTGGATGAAATCAACATCGATTCCGGATCCGCCCAAGTCGCAGTAATGACATTCAGCGACGACCCAAAGGTCGAATTCCACCTAAACCGCTACAACAGCAAATTTGGAGTCAAACAAGGTCTGCTTGGTGTCAAGTACACGTACGGCAACACTTACACAGACAGAGCTGTGAAGACCCTTGTTGACGACGTCCTAACTACCAGGAACGGGGCTCGCCCTGGAGTCATCAAGGTCGTTATCATTGTCACAGACGGCAAGTCGACAGATCCTTATGCCCTCGCCGACCAGACCGCACGGCTGCACAGACAGTCCGCTACCGTTTTCGCCATTGGTGAGTTTTGGAGACTTATTTTCATTTAGATTTCAACTTCGATAATAATTTCTGTTTTATTCACAGGTTTCATTAAAAATGTATATAAAGCCGACTTAATTGACGTTATATTCCATATACTTAAATAGAGTCGTCTGTTTATTTATAAATTATACCTAAGCTGCATGACATACTTTGATAACTGACAGCTAAGTTATGAGTGCCATATCTTGACATGAACATGCAAGTAAACGCCTATACATATTGCAAACAAAAAAACACAAAAAGGGTTACTGCATTTCCCGTAATAACTGGCTAAGTAATGTCCCTTTACTCTGCAGGTGTCGGCGAAGCAATTGATGCATCAGAGCTACGTATGATGGCGTCCGAATCGGACAATGTGTTCATGGTGGATGATCTCAACGCCCTCCAGAACATCCGCTTACAGTTGGTGTCACGTGTCTGTGGAAATGACCGAAACAATTTCCCACTGGACCGTTTCCGCCTTGGACCAAGAGCCTAAGGTATTACCTACATACAGTAACGCATCATGCTACGAATTTCCCTTATGGTATCACTACTGCTATAATGCAGTTAAATCGTGGGATTGAAAGATT